ATTATTTTCAATTGAATTCAATTTCGCTTTCCTTGTTTGCTCCCTCCAGCCCCGTTCCGTGCAGGGGGTGGTTGGGCAGGGTTCAGGCCATCGAGGGCTTCGATTTCATTTTTCTTCAAACAAATTTCTCAACCATTTCATTTGGGCACGTATCGTCTGCAACTCGACGTCAGGAACGACGAAAAATTGCTTTCCTGATATATGTGAAACGTGTGCTCGACGAGCGACGAGCAATGCTAATACAATGTGATATGAAAATTGATATTTCGTCGTTCATCGAATGAAAAAATACACATTTTCGAGATTTCCTTCGCCTGATTGCTGTCTCGTCGTTCCGTGAACGTAGGAGGTCGTGTTCGGGGTTCACGGCAAGAAAAACCGCTTACTCGAACATGGCATCCACATGCTCCTAGAGTCGGTCGTTGGCTGTTGGAGAAGTAAAGAGCCAAGACAAATAACTGTGTAACATGCTGAACTATATGCGAAGGAGACGGACACTCTAAAGTTCAAGGAAAGCGGAAAGTTTTCCTCGGAAAAAAAAGTGACACTTCCCGCCACTCCCTTGCAACTCTTCGGTGCTGGTCATGTTGATAGTACAATGTTATTGGTGTTGTCCAGCTGCGAGCACAGCATACATGCATGCACTTTAACACTATACAGAACAAACAGATGATGCACTATACGCTTTGACTTCACCGGCCAGGGTGTGGGGCCCCGAAGCGAGCAAAACAGTCCGTCGACCGGTGCCACTCCGATTCCATGCAGGTCCCATGGAAAGACATGAACTTTATTACTATGTTTATCCGCAGCTCACCAGCCGAGTATCAGCAGGGTTGGGTGGACACAAACATAATCGGACATACTGGAGATCTTTCTTTGGCTGCTGGTGAAGGGAGGGGAGGGGGGGGGGTGTAAAATGTAGCTCTGGTGTATATTTTTCTACTCAAAAGTTGTACGTGGTAAGAAACATTCGGACGTGCTCTGGAAGGGATGGGCCGATTTGAGTTGATGGTATGAATTGTACCTTAGGCGGTCAGGTCACATCTCAAAGTTTCTGAGAATTACCCGAGTATTTTTTGTTCACTGTCACATTCAGCAACAAAGAAGTGAAGTTCATTGGCACCTATTTTTAAAGGCGACTTTTATTAAAAGTGAATATAGGGGAAATGCAGGTAATGTCGGCCTAAGTGTCCCTAATTTGGGCCCATACATAAATTCAGCAATCGACTAAATTTTCAATAGCAACCAAAAATATCCATTAGTAACGTCCCAATAACGCGTTCATCTAGATAAAATTGATAAATAGCAGATTTTTATCGATGGGCCCAATCTTAGATCAATAGGCCAACATTAGAGACATTTCCCCTACTTAATATTAGATTGCGTACGATCATAGTTTGGGACCTATAGTATCATAATCTGATCATCAGGATGTTCAAGGGGAGGGGGGGATACACTAAATGGCACTGCACTTTAAGATACCGGTCTTTTCCACACGGACGCCTGTTTGTTTCTCTCCCTAATCTTCCATATCTAAGATGGCTATCATCATCCAATTTGCGCATCCATTGTTATTTTAAAGCTAAACTTTTCCTCCCTTCAGTAACGTTCTTGTTCTTTGCAGCGGCACAAGCCCTCTCGCTCTTGTGTGTGTCTCAAGAGGTAAGTCACTCAGCACAGTGTGCCAAAACTAGATTCGGCACAGCTTGGGCGCATCCATCGGCACACCTTCGGCACAATCTCGTAGGCATTGGATTGTTCATTAAATAAAATAGGAGCACTGCTGGACTAATTGATTATTCTAGAGGAACTTCACTTTTCGGTTCACATTTAAATTTATAATGTAGGCTTCCGAGGGCTGTCGATTGCTATCGATGCCGGTCACAAATCTTTCAGCTAATACGCAAATGGAGTGTACTAAGGACCGGAATGCAAGAACAATTTGGATGGATTGAATCATGCAGTGGTGGCGGTTGGATACGGTAAACTCAAAGGAGAAGATAACTTCCTAATCAAGAAAAGGGACGGCTCGGGAGTGGTAGGATGTGGCTTTGTAAGGACCCTACTTTTCAGTAGCAAATCCCCAGCAATCTACCAAACCAAACTCACTTGAACAATACCGAACTACTTTTCCCGGCACAATCACACGCAATTTTTATTGCTTGCACTCAACCTAATTAACTTACAATTTTTAAACCGAATTTCACTGGTTGATTCCTCTTCCAAATTGAGCAGAAAGGTGTAGTGCTTCTGAATTGTTTACATCAAATTAACCAGCAACGTTCGGACGACATTGGAGCAGTAGGACTTGTAACGCGCACTCAGAGCACAGATGATCGATCCGAAGTGCAGATAGTTATTGTTGCTAAATGCACTGAACTTCAAGCTGTCATTGCCACCCGACTGGATAATCGCCGGTTAGCACATGTCCGACACACTCCGACAGTTTGGCATGTTTTACTTTCTTATCAGCATCGATAATCTCCATGATGTGATCCTTGACCGTCACCAGACAGGCCTTCTTGATGGTGATAACCTCGTAGTCTTCCTTGGAGCACATGATGTACCCGATTGGAACGCTGCTGTCCACCGTGTCAAAGCTCTTGTCCTTGACGAAGACTCGCCACGATTCACAGAACTCACCCGGGAAGTTGTCCTTGGAGAAAACACCCAACGTTTTGCCATCCTTGGATCCCTTAATCGCCTCCAGCAGCTTTTCAAAATTGGCCTTGTCTTTGTCGCTCTTATGCCAAACCAACAGCTTCACCGACGGAATGCTCTCCATACCGTTCTTCTCGATCTGCTTCAAGAAGTCGATAATCTTCTTGCTGGTTAGTGGACTTTTTACACAGCACTGTAATCGTTTCCGTCAGCTCGTATCCCAGCAGTTTCCTCGTATACGCCAACCGCCGTCACAATGCAATCCACCTTCTGCAGCGAATCATCGTCGGTAGAAGGAATCCTTATCGAGCACGATATTCGACATTTCGAGCCGGAACACTTTCGGTTGATCTCCGACTGTTTTTCTTTGTTGTGTCCTGTTGGACGACTGAGACCACTCACGGTTCATTTCACCAGCATTCCTCCTTGGTTGTCGCTAGACCGATGTTATCATTGCGATTGTAAACCAAAACATTCAAGCTGTCAGAAATACCGGATTGCCAAGTATAACATAATATTCGTATGTTACCAAAAATCGCAGCTTGCTCTATGACCGGCACTGTCGGCACAATCAACACACCTGTGGCACACTGAAAAAAAAAATGTTGACCCAAGATTGGTGTACAGAGTGACCTGCCCCTTGGTGTGTCTATTGTTTTAGATTTAACAAAACGTGAATTTTCCCAACCAACAATAACTCATGCAGACGAAAATCCACGGATTGTAACCAAATGGTTACAAATTTATTGAATAATTGAAAAAATTCAAGATCCAAAATACCTGATTTTTTGTAAACATATGAATTTTTGCCCATTACACACTATTGGGTTCTTTAAGGATATTGAGGTAAATACATATTCGTATTTTGCCCGGCCCTTTGGCTCAGTGATGGTTAGAGCGCGTTCTGGTCGAGGCAGACTTCATGTGTGAGTAAGTGATGACAATGGGCATTGCTTTATTCATTTTAAAAGGTGCGTTTTATATTTCACCACATGTAGTTCCAAGAATCTGAATGAAATGTGACGCTTGCGAATATCACTTGAAGATACGATATGACGGAACATTGACACTAACTGTATAAAACACAAGTAAATGCTTCCAGAAATTAGTTAAGATAACATATTGAAAAACGAGTTAATTGTTGGTCAAAAAATTGAATGTTGTATTGAAGTAGTTTGAATAGTGTTAAATCCGTTGACATCAGAATTGTTCGAATGGCTAAGCAGAATCCGAAGTATTCGTCGAGGCATATTGTGGAATCGATGGATCTCAATGTAAGTCGATGCCGGCGACTTAATGAGAGCGGTTTGAAAAGCTGTTTGGCATCGAAGCGTCCTTTTATCAACAAGCGGAACCAATGGAAGCGACTGGAATTTGCTAAAAAGTACACCGGAATGACTGTGGACTTCTGGAAACGAGTTCTGTGGACGGATGAGAGCAAATTTGAGTTATTTGGACAGAAAAGACCATCAAGGGTTTGGCGAGGTTCCGCTGACGCTCTTAAGGAACCATACATTCAAAAGACGGTTAAACACGGAGGCGGAAATATCATGGTATGGGGAGTATTTGCGTGGTCTGGTGTTGGAAGCTTGGCTCATATAAAGGGAATAATGACTGCAGATGTGTACATTGACTTGTTAAGTGAAAATCTGGAAGTTTCGCTACTGAAAACTGGCCTGGAATCCAATTACATTTTCCAACAAGATAATGACCCGAAGCACACAGCGAAGAAAACAACGGCATTTTTCAAATCAAATCGGATCAAAACGCTGGAATGGCCTCCCCAATCTCCCGATCTCAACCCAATTGAGAATTTGTGGTCTTACTTGGACAACAAAGTGGATAGAGCATCGGTTTCCAACAAAAACTTTTATTTTGAAGCACTTGAAGCAGCGTGGGAGAATATCGATTCAGGATATCTACAAAACCTCGTCGAAAGTAAGCCAAGACGGTTGGAAGCAGTGTTGAAAGCAAAGGGTGGTCATACCAAATACTCAGAGTGTTAAAATGTAAGTTGAAAGATGAATTAAACAAGAATTTTCAATAAGAAATCAGGCGTATGATTTATTTTGTTCAACTCGAAATTTTCCTTTTACAACTTACAAATGATGATTGAGAAAGTCATACAATATATTGAATGTTCTATACCTACACAGTTTTAGCGAAAAACATACAGAAGTATTGCAGAACAAACCATTATTGTATGTTTGAATCTACCTGATACATCGAGCTCCAAAGAAAAATTATATCGGTGTATGATTTATTTTGTCCAGGACTGTATCTATATATTTTCCCGTACCATGGAGCCGACAAAGTAAAAGTGAAAGAAGAGCTGCAAAATGGAGTACATGCGATACGACAATGGAGTGATGCTCGGTAAGAAAATTCCCGGAGACACTGTCTATTTGCCGCACTGCTGATACGGTTTTATAAGACGCAACTAGGATCTCAAGATCATCATAGTGACGTTTGCAAGTTATGATTTGATGAAAAATTTCGAATACGAAATTTTGATGTTTTTTGTGAGATTAGCTGACATGTGCATGATTGACCATAACAACCCTGCGCCTCGGTCAGAGAGCGTATAGGGCGTCGTTGTGCCAATTTGGTCGTGGCACATTTCGAGTATGAGAGAGTAAGTGCAGTTAGATCAAAGTGCCTGAGAAAAATGCAAGTACGTTCGCAGATTACCCGAAGTTGCGATAGTGAAGGTATGATCACAGACAACCAGACATAACACTCTTAAAACGTTCATGGAAATCGCTTTTAACGGTCAATTTAAATGTTTCTTAGTTGGTAGTACCGCCACTTGTGGTGCACATAATCAATTCCCTAGCGTTTGACGTTTACACACTACAGCCATCTGTTGAGTGTATTGCCAATCATAGTGTATACGACTGATGGCGGTAGGGTTTACAATGATAAATGTTCAATGTGTTGTGTTTGTTTGTCTGTGAAATAACATTGAGATAACGTTAGGATAAAATCAAAAAAATTGAGAAATATAACGCATCAATTTCAGAAATACTTCACTTCGCAACTGATGAACCATTCTGACGGCCATATGAGTACCCAAGTAACCATATAGTCGCAATATAGCTTGTATATTCTTACTTTGCTTGAGTATGGTTAGTTGGGGAATCTGATGAAACTGTCACTTCTTGAAACTGATCAATTTCGTATTTCTTTCATTCTCTTTTCGCACACGGAGCGCTTGGTGGACCAGCGACTTTGGACCGGGGACCAACGGCTTTACTTCCTAGGATTGAACCCAGGTCCTTTGGAGTGAGAGGCAATCACGCTTACCCCTACACCGCCGGAGCCACTTACACCAATAGCTGAACTGCTATAACATTTGTTGCACTTCTAGAAAAGCTCCAGAACTTCTACGCCGTTCCTAAAGTTTTAATAAGTTTTCTAAGGTGCTATTAAATTTCTGAAGATTTATGTGGTTTCTTTTCCTAAGCTTTAAAAAATTTCCCAACAATCTACGAAGTTTCCTGAAATCAATCTCTTAAGTCATAGCTTCTTCGGATTTCCATTGATTTCTAAGAAGGTTCCTGGACTTCTGTAAAAACGCAGTTTAAAAAATGTGAAAGTATCTTTCGTTAAACGTAATTTTTAATTGTAGGTGTGAAGGCATTTTGTCGATCCCCCCATACTACCGACAGCTTTTTGTTTATGTCTTGTCGGCTAGGAAGAGTTTTCAGTTTTTTCTTTCGAAAATTGCTCTTTTTTTCTGAATTTACTTGGATAGCTTTAGAATGATACCTGATCAATGTGGTATCAAGGTGATCTCTTATCATTTGGTGTTATTTTAATTAATTTCTGAGCAACCTGGAATCTTTGTGAATATCTTGGAGATGTGATTTGAATTGATAAGCAGGTAAAGATCTTCAGAAAGATGCCCGATCAAACTGAAGTTTAAAACAAATATCATGAGGATATTTGAGAGATCTATGATCACTTTGAGGTCTTCTTGTGAACAGCAATCCAAATCTCATCTGTCATATATTCTCTCATAATATCATGTGCTCAGAAATTATTTCAAAAATCTTTAGGAGCTTATAAATCTCTGAAAAATTATCTGGATGGTTTTTCCATGGTACTGCTATTTTCTCCGTGATATCAACTAGTTTAGCATCCACTTTTGATAAATACTATCTTGCTCAAAATTTACGACGCCCATAATTGCATTCACCGATACCGCCTAGAATATGAGACGCCCCTCTATTGGTTGGCTTGCCCTCCGTCATGAAGAGGCCTGCATACGTCTATGGAAGCTACCCACAATTTTGAGTGGATCCCTGAAGGGTGGATCATGTCTGTATGGCGGATCAAAACTCCCTGCTTTCCACTGCTGTTTAGTTGTGTATTGAGGTCCCCAACAAATTTGAACGAATTTGGTTATGACCTGGATTTGCAGGAGAATTTTAAACAGAGCAAAACAATTCATATGCTTGTCAAAAATTCAAAAATCGCTCATATTTGACCAAACCTTGAACTTAGATTGGTGATACTATGCAGAACAACTTTTTCTAAGATCGACTATAGATTTGTCTTCTGGTTAAAAAATATTACTATTTTACTTCATGTCAAGTGCTCCGCGCATACCTACATGCGTATATTAGCTTGTAGGTATGTGCGGAGCACTTGGTCTAAAGTAAAATAATATTAAATTTTTGTCTCTGTTTACGATTGAATAATGAAATTTAATATAAGAATTTGTTAGGCTTTGAATTATCTACCTTGAAATATGAAGTACGTTGTTCGCTATAAATAAATGTGAGTTAGGTCAACTAGAGAGTAGCAAACCTTCTGATACCAGGATTTGACAGTTGGCAGGAAATGAATGCCTCTTTCTACAATTACTAATACCACACTAGAGCTCAGAGGAGTAAGTATAGGAGAAGTAGAGGGAGAGTCAGATATGTGGAGGAGAACATGAAGTTAGTAGAAATAGAACGGTTGAACGGTTAACTTGAACCTCGCCTCGTTTAGTCCCGTGGGACAATAAAAATCCGAAAGTCTCGTTATGTTTTGGTCGCGAGGGATCTATCCAGAGTGTGGAAAGCAAGTGGTCAGCCACGTAATCCGCGTGGTCGTCGCGGAAACCCTCGAACGAAACCACAACCTTGGACAAATTTATGGTGCCGAAACCCGGAGGAAGATCCCAAAAGTGATTGTAAGCTCCGGTTCGAAAGCTTCCCACGTGTTATATAGCAGCTTCCCACCAAATCAATCCAACGGAGTGCCTTGGGCATCGGTGTTATCAGTTGGAAACTTCTCGTTTCTCACTCGTGTCACTGAAGCTGGTTTCGCCTAAGGCAGGTGGCTGCACCTGGAGCTCCTGCTGTTCACCAAGTGCCGTCGGTCAAACTGCCAGAGTTAAAAATCACATAGTTTGATGGACAACCGGAGCAGTGGATTGAGTTCAGCGACCTCGGTGGAAAATTCCACGAAACCTGCCAATAGCTGATCCGAGATTCAATATTTACCACGGAGACGATCTCATTATCGAAGCTGAACTATTTTATGCTTTTCTCGAATCACAACAAATATCCCTAGCTGATGAATATCCTATTTTACAGAAAACCGTATTGGGGTACGTCGTCTCTAGGAAGGCTGCAACTCAAGCCTTCGGGACGGTGGTATGCCACGTCACCACTGACCAGCCACTCAACTCCCAGTTGGAACGAATGTGGGAGGTTGAAGATTTCGACGTAGGAAAGGCGCTAACACAGGAGGAACAATACGTCGAGAACCATTTCAATCGCACCGTCTCGCGAGATGAAAATGGTCATTACAGGCGTGAGAGAACCCCTGATTCCGCTCCTCGGTGATTCCTACAAGGCGGCTCTAAACCGATTCTCGATGATGGAGAGACCAAGTTTATGGAAGACTACACACGGCTGGGGCATACGGAAGAGTGTTCTACGCTATCCGTCGGCCAGCACCGCCAGCATGGTCCCATGGTCAACTGTCCTTTAACGAAATCCTGTTCACCGGATCCACGGTACAGCCAGCATTACTTGTCGTGGTAGTAAACTGCCGGATGTCACGGTTCGTGTTCTCTTGCGACGCTGAAAAGATGTTCCGGCAGGTGTGGACGCATTCCTTGAAGTTATTTGGCGTTCGGACACCTCACTGCCCTTGAAAATCTATCGACTGAAGACCGTGTGACGTATGGACTCGCAAGTTCCCCCTACCAAGCAGCTCGGGTACTGAACAAACTTGCTGAAGACAAAGGCCACGATTATCCGCTTGCTGCACGCATCGTCACAAAGCTCTGCTACGTCGACGACGTTGTTGCCGGAGGGGACAATTTGAAGGAGGTAGCTGAATCCTGTCGTCAGTTGCAGGAACTCCTCGCTCTTGGAGGTTTGACATTAAGTCGAATCAGTTTACAGTTTGCGACAAAATTATTCCGCTTAGTACACTCAATCTACACCTTTAAAGGTTTGGTCAAAATTGAGATATTTTCGAATTGAACTGTTCTATTTGCCATAAAAACTTTAGAGCTCTCCCGCAAATCCAGATCTTAACTAAAATCAATCGAATGTTGCAACAATGTGGATGGCTTCATAGCATCAGATGAGCGCATAGAGTGTTCATAGATCCACTCAAAATTGTGGGTGGCTTCAGCCATTGTTGAAGAAAGTGAGAAGAAAATTGGTCGCCAAGAATCAGATCGAACTATTGCTCTATGTGACCATGATCAGGTAAAAGGAATATCTATTTTAAAACGTTCAATTTGGGCACATGAGCCCAGGGAAATTAATTTTCATCATCTATTAAACTGCCCTTGATTAACGACAATGAAAAAAATGGATCGATTATCTGGGTGATTCGATTACCCGAAGTGAAATTGTCCACCAAACATCCGGATAATCGAGTCCGACCTGTACTTTGTTTAAGATGTCATTTCGAATGGAAGTGACATTTTCAAGTTATGATTTGATAAAAAAATTCGAATACATAATTTTGATGTTTTTTTGTGAGATTCAAAATGGCCGAATTTTACCTCAAATGCGAATGATTGACCATAACAAACATTTATTTAAAGTTTCATGCAAATTGGAGAAGGTCTTCAGACTCGACCTTCTCCAATTTGCATGATTTTTTTTGTGGCTATATGTCCTGGAAATGTTCAAATGTTAAAGATTTCGAAACGATTGAAATTTTCTAAGATTCTAGCTAGGTCATTAAACAATTTCTGGAGATCTCAAACTAAGATTTTTTTTTGCAAGAACACAGACTCGTAGAGTATGGGGCTTATTTTTTTTCTATTTGTGCCTTTTCAACTGCTTTCGGAGCATCCATTTGGGGCAGGAATTCATTCGGTGCCACTTCATCATGCACAAAAAGCACTTGTT